AAAACGGTTTGACCCAGAATCATAGGAATTGGTCATCACAAGGTAGCCATGCACCACAGCATGCTCTACTTTATAATCTACTTTTAAAGGTAGGGTAGGTAAGAATGGAGAAACCAGCTCGAGTGCGCTAGAATTTGAAAATACACAACCGAAAAAAATCTGCCCCTTCCTTCAGACTTCCTTACAGAGCCCCTCCTCCAACACACACGAACGTGCACATGACCAATGAGGGCACGAGATAAGTTTGTGCATGAGATGGAAGGCTGACAGGCAGGTAGGCCATCCAATTATCTGAGCTGGGCCGGCTCAAATAATTGGTCGTGCTTTTGACAGTACTACGGCTTCCACAGATTCAATAGTTGTATATATTTATTGTCAAAGCATTTAATTTATTCATTGCTTTCGGGTTGTTAAGAGCATTCCATGGAATATAACAAGTGTTTCTGAAGTGAATTACCTACCCCACCTTTAATGGGACCATCATTTACAAAATGAACAACATGCTGTATTAAAGAATACATGCAACATACGTTTAAGCCCATAAACTCAATTGAAAGATTGTTTACTGAGCAGAAAGAGTATTTTTCTGGGTCAGGGGTAGGAACATTTTCTCATAGACTTCTATACAATCAGATATTTTCACAACTCACTGACAAAGTTTAAGGCACTTGTGCATTGGCTTTACTCTTTCATCCTTGAGGTTTCAGAGAGAAATAGTGCATTAAGCTTCGTAACTGCTTACTAGACCTGACTGACAATAGACTTGCCTGGAGTTTGGACTCCAAATCATGGAACAATCAAAAAAACGATGAGGCATTATGGGGCAGGGAAATTCTGTCTTGTTATAGTTATCGAGACTTGCAATTTCTCATAAAAACGTGTCAGTTGCCTCAAATTTCCCCTCACGGACAAACAAAGCAAGAGGAATAGGTTGTGCTGAGGACGTTTCTTAACATGTTTTTCTCACCAAATTCTGTCAACCTTTAAATTCAGTGTACATCCTATGATTACCAGTGACTAGAGTAGCTGTAGAAAGCTTATACCATTTCAGAGCCACGTTTCAAGCCATTTGGGGAGTGATCATGTGGTACTCAGGGGATTTCAGTGAACGCAGTTTGCAAGCACCCGAAGGAATTAGGCTGCAGTTGCTTTTACACCGACGACACAAGGTTAACATCTTTTTGTCGTCCTATTTGTCTCTGCTCCTCTGAGACTTTTAGGTAATGACAGAGACGTACGATATATATATACGCAAGTGTGTGTGTGTGTGTTTTTATGAGCTGGGGGAACAGCTACTGCTGAGTCAGCTGGGGAGAAGTACTGTCCTGTCATGCTGTGCCCTTGTAAAACATCCTCTCTGTTCCCCTCCCTTCCTCTCTATGAAGTCATCCACCTTAAGCAGCTGCAGAAGACTGTCATTATTAATGCATTTGTATAGACTAATAAGCCAACAAAAAGGGACAAATGCTCATTATCAGCCATTTAAGGCAACATATTGAAATTGTTTTGTCCAAAAGAAGGTCCAATCACAAAGGTACTTAAATGATCAGTGATATAGAACAGAGAATAGTCTGTACTAGTCAATGTTTGGCTTTTTTACCAAAGGAAGCATCATGGTTTAAGGCAGGGCAATATTTGTCTTTACAGTAAGGCGGTTGTCCAGCAATTATTTCATTATGGATTAATCCTCAGATTATTTGGGTTTATAACTCCAAAGGTCCAAAGAAATTCTGTTTCATTTTTCACTTAAAAGCAGGAAACCTCCATATTTGATGCTAAAAACAGCATTTTCTGACATGTTTGCTTAAAGAAATCAGCATATAACTGGTTAGTCAACTGATCGTTGCAGCAATACACTTGTAATTCAATCATTTGTGGATTGACACTACTATTCTTTCTTTCCCTGAATCTAAAGTGTATATTATTACCACCTGCATCCTTCCTACGTATACATCCACATGGTACACACACGGACAGACTGTGGTTCTCGCTCTGAATTCATGCTGTTAGAAAGCCAATCGTCCCTGCGCCCTGTTCTCATGCCCCAGGCAAGGTTAGCGAGGGAGCAGCAGACAACAGAAAGTGTGTGGTGCTGCTGTCAGCCATTTGTCATCAAAGATTAGTATGGTCATTAGATCAGATGCTTTTTGTTGCATTTTGTTTTTAGCCTCCCTTTCTTGTATCTTTCGGTTTGTCACTGCCCTCATCTGCAACTGCTCAGATGGTGGGACAGTGGAGAAGCTGCGTAGTGAAAGGGGGAGGGGGAGGAGGAGGAAGGGAGTAAGGAGGGAGGGTAGAAGTGGGGGATGGTGGCTTTACAAAGGGTGAGGGAGCCACTTCAGCCCTGATGTGCAAGAGGGAAGAGTGGGAGGGGGGGGGGGGTGAAGGAGGGGATCAGCCCACTGGGGGGGGGGGGGGGGGGGGGCAGTGAGATAATCGGCACAAGGAGAACTATTCTCCCACTCAGCTGGAACAAAAGGTCTTTGCCAGTGTTTGTGTGTGTGTGTGTGTGTGTGTGTGTGTGTGTGTGTGTGTGTGTGTGTGTGTGTGTGTGTGTGTGTGTGTGTGTGCGTGTGTGTGTGTGTGTGTGTGTGTGTGTGTGTGTGTGTTGATATCCCAGTAGAGTCAGCCAGATCAGAAACCCCCCCAGAGAGTTGGGGAGTGGTTTTTGTTTTGTGAGGTAGGTTTGGAGATCAATTGCAAAGCCAAGGTACAGGGTATGTCTCTAGTTGTGTGTGTGTGTGTGTGTGTGTGTGTGTGTGTGTGTGTGTGTGTGTGTGTGTGTGTGTGTGTGTGTGTGTGTGTGTGTGTGTGTGTGTGTGTGTGTGTGTGTGTGTGTGTGTGTGTGTGTGTGTGTGTGTGTGTGTGTCTCTGTCTGATCCTTGCCTATCGACTGCTGTAGACAGCGGTACCACAGAGACACTCCTCTGTGCTGTTTGTCAGAAAGGACGGCAGTGGTGGAAATACAGTAAATGTGCCACCAACTTTAGTTGTTAGAAAACCATCAAGTGGCCGCTATCAGCTGTTATCAGTTGTATAGACTTGAGGTGGAATGGCCCTACTCTATCTCTTATTTTGCTCAGTAGCATATCCTGGTTCTTTCCCATCTGAATCAGTACAATGTTTGTGAGAAAAGCTGATAACAGCGATTTAATGGACTGATACAATGAACTGACAATGTAATAATATCATATACATTTGGAGTTGCTTGTAATACTACACTTTCATGTTATAGTACTTACCTTTACATTTGAGTTGTAAACATTGAACACTTGGTGTTGCTACATGAACATTTGGTGTTTATTATAAAGCTTAAAGTTAAATAATGCTTCTTTGGGGTTGAAAACACAACACATATACAGTGCAGTATATTATTTTTCAAAGTTATCATGGTACATTCTTTGTGGGTTGAAAGTTAACTTCAAAGGGGCCCTATTATGCTTTTTGTGGTTTCCCTTTCCTGTAGTGTGTTATATAGGCTAAAAGGTCAAAGTTCACATCATAGGCAGTTTCTCTCCCACACATTCCCCTCACTGCCTGAAACGCCTCCATTGGACGTTGTTTACTTCTGTAACATATTGACATCACTACATAACACTCACGCTTCTATTGGCTAGCGCACCAACACATTGTATAGGCTAAGAGGCGGGACATCTCCGGTTTGTTGCTGTTCATCATTCGATTTAATTGCCTCTATCTGCTTTATACCTTGTCTGTGTGTTGAGTGGAGGTGGCTACAACACTCCTGTGCAATCCTGTTTTGTATAGTGACAATAATAAGACCTTGAATTACAACTAGGGATTCGAAAGCGAAGCTGCGAAACTATTATACATACATTCGCCAAAGTTAACAGACCAACATCCTACGTGAACCATGACCTACAATGCATGAGATACACACACAGTTTTTCCTGTAATACAGGAAAGGATTCTTACCAAGAATGAGCCTCTGGGTTCTTTTTGCGTTGGGGTATTACCACTTTATACACTAACAGCTGATGGATAGACAGACTTTCTTTCTCCTTTGATGCGTGAAGAGAGGATAAAAGAGATGAGGCAGGTTAGGGATTACGGGTCAGTGTAATTTCCTTTATTTGTTTTGGTTTCTGCAGGGAGGGCTTTTGAAAATATGAACAAAAATGGTACGTCTGGGGCTTGAGAGAACAGAGATGAAGGGATTTCCAGTAATACCTTCATTTTTTCTTTCCGTTTCTTGTAACTTAATCATTCTCCTGTCTTTCTGTTACGTGGAAGTCTTTGTCATCTTTCTCTCATGCTCTCCTTCCCCCTCTCTGTGTGTGTTTTCTCTGCCTCCCTCTTGCTAGTCTTTATTCCTCTGGTGATTCTGCTGATGAATAGGGGGACTTTTCCGTTTCCTTAATGGGAGGAAAGTCATTTGTATTCTGCTCCTCTCTTCCTACTTTCTCCTCTCCCTACCTCCCATCCCTTTTCCTCCCCCTCCTCGTTCTCTTCTTGTCCACAATAAGATGCGACTGTACATGAGGCCAGGTTAGCGAGTTTCCCCCCGCCCTCCCTCCCTTCCACAATGGTCACCTTCAAAAAGACCTTGCCATATGGGCCAGGCCATCTGGACTGTACCATGTCACAGGGGAGGGGATGAGGAGGGAAATGAAAGGATGGATACAGTAAAACGCTCTCTGAGCAGCTGAACCCTTTCAAGTGAAGTGCATCCTAAGTTTATATCGAGGTCTGGTGTTAAACTATAGTGGGTTCTCATGGGAAAGATCAGTAATAGGAGTCTTTAATAATTCACAAAGAGAGGAAATTCAATACGGGCCTCACCATTAAACAAACACACACTTCACACTCTTCCAGGCCATTAAGGCTGCTGTTAGTTCTGATGGTAATCACATAGACACACATAAGGCTTATACATAATTTACTTTTCTCTTCTGGTGCACACACTCTACAAGAATCTGTATTTTCTGTGAAACTAAATCTCCCTCTTTCCCTACTCTCTCCGTCTCTTCATTTGTTAGGAATCGAGCTTTGTTTGCCAGCCTGGCGCTTCTCCATGACCATGGTGGCCAGTTTTCTGATGGTGGCCGGGCAACTACTGATGCCAGGGGTGGCTGCTCTGTGCCGCAATTGGCCGGATCGGGATGACTGGCAGGTCCTGCAGATTGTCATAATCAGCCCCTTCGTTCTGATGCTGCCCTATGTCTGGTGAGTCTCGCCCTCTGAGGAAATCCACAGCGGGTGGAGGGCAGATTCTTCCCTCGCTGAGCCTGGCGATGGCTTGTACAGTACACACTGCTCTACACAGAACTCAGCAGCCTCTTCTTCAACTTACAAACAATACTCTCTTTCTTCTATTGTTTATCTTCTTCCTCGCTTTCTGTCTGTTTCTTCTTCTGGCTCTTACAAATCTGCTCTCATCCTTCTTTGTGTGTACTTTTCATGGCCTTCCTTTCAATTGATTTATTTCGCTCTGCAGGATTTTCCCTGAGTCGTTGCGCTGGTTGCTGGCCACCCAGCACTACAAGAGGTCCAAAGTCATGATGCTGCGCATCGCCAGGAAGAACGAGGTTAACTTGACAACTGAGCCCAGTGGAGTTTTTACAGGTGAGGGACATTAAACAAGATGAGTTATCCCAAATCCATTGAATACTTGGAATGTATGCACCATTTTGCTTAAAACACTCTGTTATGCAATTTATTTGAGATCTTCATCCATGTTATGTGATGAAACATGCAACCAACCCAAAGACTCATAGATCTTCTTTCCATATGTGCAAGCATGTAGTTATCAAGAAGCATTTCCCAACTGATTCCATGACGAAATGTAATTGCAATAACCCACATACATGCTCTTCAAATAAGTCTGACTTCTGTAGAAGGTTCCCACTAAGGAGCATTTTCATTTAAGTTTAATTCATTTTCCAGAAAAATGCCAGAAAATAGTGAAAACACAAGTTCTAGAAGTCCAATGTCTAATCTTCAAATCGCTTGTTTTGTTTCAAATAAAAGAACAAAATGCAAATAAATACACTTTAAATAATACTGAGCAGTAAAAGATAACATGTATGAAGCTCAACTATTAGATATTGGGGATTTTTATTTATAAATTACTTTTAAAGTTGAAAAGGAATTGTGTTGCAAACATGCAGTCCTTAGAAAAAAAGGAAATGTGTTGGATTTTCCTCACTGAGATCTCTCCTTGCTCATACTCCGTGTCTTGGTGATTGATTACGTGTTTCTGCCCCTCTCAGCAACTGAGTAGACAGATAAATTATGAGAGTGGCCAAAGGGATGTGCTATATCTATCTTAAGGCTGACTGCACATTAGCTTCTCTGTGCTGCAGGTCCCTTAGTGGCCGGCCTCTCATTACCTTCTGTAAGGAAAGGTCTGAAGGTGTGCGTTTCACGTTTCTTACAGAGCTGGAGCAGGAGCTGCACAAGAAGCCCCAGAGGACCTGCATTGTCAAGATGATGAGCACCAGGAACCTGTGGAAAAACATTGTGGTGCTGTGTGTCAACTCGTAAGTGTGTCATGGCCGGGCTCCTTTTCTGATCAAAGCCAACATCTGTGGTGTTGAGAGAGCATGATTTACATGAGCTCATCCCCGAGAGGGAAATGTAGACATGCACGTGGGAGTAAACCCCACAGGTCTGCCCCGTGGCAGGCGCATGTCTCAGGTTCCTCCTCCCTGTCTGCTTCTTATTGTGTCTTATTTTTTGTCTGTGCAGGCTGACAGGTTATGGGATTCACCACTGCTTCGCCCGCAGTATGATGGACCCGGAGGCCCAGCCAATTGCTCTGTGCCATGCGGACTACTACACTATGGCTGGCATCGCCGTGGCAACCTGCCTGGCTGTTTGCCCCGCGGTGGGATTGATGGGTCGGCGTGGAGGGCTGCTCACCTTCATGATCATAACAGCCCTGGCATCGCTACTGCAGCTGGGATTACTCAACCGTGAGTAATCACAAATCCTGCTACACTTAGCTAGCATTGCTAAAGTTTTACCTGTGCAGTAACTGCACTGCAGTTTATAATGATAAAACTCACTTCAATTTGGGTTGTTTTTATTTGTATTTAAACAGATAAACGAAAGGCTACTTCTAATTTTTAGCTGAAAATCATTGATTTGTATGACTTAAATTACAAGCAGCGAATTTGCATATTAGCTGTAGATAGCTAGCTACAGTAAATTATGGTAAATAGGTTAGTTGTTGCAGAAACCTTAGCTTTAACATCTGTTTATGTTTTTGGCTAATTTGGAAATTGAAAACCGCACGAGAAACTTAACTTCTGACTTGATGTCAAGATTGATAAAGTCATGCTAACTAGTTGGCACATTTTGTGTAAAGATTCAGCATTAAATGAAGGAGTGCAGCATTGTACTCTAATTTGGTTCTATATCCTTTCAAGGAAACATCAGTATAATATTAGGCTGTTATCTCTTGCTAACATAATGTGATGTTAATTGTAGAGAATACACAATTTATATGAAATTGAAACTTGCATCTCTTTTAGCAAATACATTTGTAGTATGAGGAGTAAGCAATGAGTTTAGTATACATCTCAAACTAGTAGCAAATCAGAGCTGCTAAAGTATCATTGATTAAAGGTTAGCATAACACAGGACCGACTCCTAGAACGAGGTTTCTTCTATTATAAGCCAAAACAAATTATACTTACCTAAAGTCATGCTCAGCTTAGGCATTGGAATTTAAGCTAGGTTGCAAATGTAGGCAAGCAGCTAGTTAGATAGGCATGCTAAGATTAGCATTTTACCATCAACCTGAAAAACACAGTTATTCTGTTTTGGCAAGAAAAAAACCCACAAAAGTGCTCGGATGGTGGATTAGTTAAAGTGTCATTATAATTTGGCATAGCTACATTTCAACTCAATTCAGTTAAGAAAATCCTGAAAGTTATGTCACACCTGTACCAAAAAGAAAGCCAAAATTCAACAGTAATGTTAAGTGAACATGCACATTCCTGTCATTAAAACAGTACAGACTGTATTTGAACTCTCACACTAATAGGAGCCACTTTGTGTTGTTTTATGACCTACATATGCAGTACAGTAGTCATTATTTCAGACTTCAGTGGTAAACTGTTCAGATTTCTCCTGAAGTCCTCTTGAGTCAGCACCGTGCTGCTCTTTGTGCTTACAAATGACATGATTTCCTCTTTTCTTTTCTCCAATGCTTGCCGATGTAATCCAGTATTTGGGAAGTACGGCCTTCGCCACGACACAGGTACACTCACATCTAGTTGTTTTGTGATATGCTGTAGTGTAGAACGTGTCTGTGCCCCTGGCTAATGATAAATGAGCTGTTGGTTTCATTTTGATGTTTCTGGATAAACTTACATTATCTTCTCCTCTTCTCTTCAGTTCTGCGCGATACCCTGAACAGGAAATTCTCTGTGGCTTTCTCCATCATCGGCATGTTCTCCTCTCATGCAGTCAGCACACTCAGCATATTCTTTTGTGCTGAAATTACTCCTACTGTCATCAGGTGAGCCTGGACGGTCATAAACATGAAATATAACACTTAGGGGAGCCTTCTGCTGTAGGCGAGCTCAAGGCTGGGTCTGAAATCATTTCTTATGAGCTACTCATAGTGAACCATCTACTATGCACCATTTTATTTTAGTTTCCAAATCTCAGGGTCAGATTTCTATATAGCATCCAAAAAATTGGCAACAGTTAAAGAAAAAAGTAATAAACATTTATGTATGAAACAAATAATACATTCATTATTGTAGATATATAGTAGACCTACTGTGTGGCAAATGATGAACTACATACCCTTTTTAAGTAGATTTGAGTATGTTGTGTGTTAAACAGACATGTAGAATTCAATCAAATCAACAGTGTGAAGCCAAAGCTTAACTGATGTCTGTCATATATGTTGGTACCAAATGTTGATGCACATTTATTTATTTTTTAAACATACTGCGACAATTACTATATAGTCCATACTGGGTATTACATTACACCAACATATGGAAACTCCGAGCAGAGCTCTTGTTCTCATGTTGCATATTGGCTCCATCTTGTGGTGCAGTTTTGACTGACAGGGGTGAGTTAGTTCCCAAAAGGGCTCAGTATGCTTCAGACTAACTAGTTTGTACAAACGTGTCACATAGAAAGGGGAAGAAGTATGAGAATGACAAAAGAGAATATCAGAGAAAAAGCCAAATATTGTTATCGAAATAAATAACTTTTTATAAATATGAGATGGCAAAGGAACGGCAACAATGTAATTTAACAAAATATGTTTGTAATTGTTCTTGACAAAAGAAAAGGAGACTTAATATAATACTACTTTTTTCAGTGCAGCATTTCCCTTTCCAGTGCTCACATTATAGTTGAAAAATAAACTTGACTTAATAAAGTCCAGATTGAAACTGATTAAAACTAACAAGGGCACTTGATAGACAAAAAAGTGACATAAACACAAGAGGCAAGTTCATGAAGAGATTGTCTGTTTTGAAAATATACAAAAAAATGTCAGACAAGGGAGAAGGGAGGTTTCAGGGTGTGTTTGACGCTTCAACGGTTGTACGTTTTAAGTCCCGTCAGATCACCTTGGTAACAGATCCTCTCTCTGTGCAGGGGTGGAGGACTTGGCCTGGTCCTGGCCAGCGCCGGCTTCGGCATGCTCACTGCGCCCATCATGGAGCTCCACAACCAGAAAGGCTACTTCCTGCACCACGTAATCTTTGCTTGCTGCACCCTGCTGTGCATCATCTGCCTGCTGCTGCTGCCCGAGCCCCGGGGCCAGCCCCTGCCGGAGAGCATGGCGGACGGAGAGACCTTCACCCGTCAGACGCTGCTCCACCCAGGGGAGCAGCACCTGCTTCTCGCCAAGACTGACGGGGACTACTCCCGAGTCCACGACACGCCGCTACACCTCACGACCACTGGGGGCGCTACGGTGGCAGCAGCAACCGCTCTGGCAGCGGTTCCTGCCTCCTACGCCCTGGCCACTGGAGGGGAGGTGATTGGAAATCATGCCATAGCCAATGGAGTGTGAGCAATAGCAATTGTTGAATACTATTGCTCAAGCATTAACTTGAACTGGAACATTTTCAAGGGAGAAAATAACTTTTCGAATGAACCAGATGAACTCTTTAATGCTGAGATTTGAGACGGTGACGATAATACATTTGTGTAGTTTGTAGTGAATATGATTCATTCAGGAGTTGCCAAAAATATTGTACTGGACGAAGTTTACCTGAAGTCAGTGTGTGTTTGATAATATGAAAGTCTTCAGTGGTGATTTGTCTTGCTCTGTGGTCCGCTTTGTCGAGAATGATTTACAGGTGAAAGGAGCAGACGCAGGCAAGTGAGAAGGGCAAAGTGGAGCAGACTATCTTTCAATAACGTGTGCTCTGTGACTTTTCTGTTTGACGTTTTGACTCGTTGAGAGAGGATCTCACTGCATCTTATAATTCTTTATAAGTTATTTTTGCACTAAATGTCAGAGACACAATCAAGTGTAAGGGATTTTCGGCCAACATGTTGGCGAGTGGAGACCCAGGGATTGGCTAAACCACTACCACTGTTTTCTTTGCATGAAAGGGCACAAATTGTTTTACATGTATTGTTCTTCTTATTTGTGGTCCCTTTGCTAGAAGTCCAACGTGGCACTTTATCCTCAGAGATGAGGTCAGTGTGGGCACTGATTTTTTAAACAGAGCATTACTGTTTCTGGTGTGGGTGTATGATGGTTTTCTCTTGTGCGGGGAACAGCCGGAGACCTCTGCAGAATGTAAGTGTAGCCTGTAGCGACTGCTGAACAAATCTGAGAGTTGAACGGACATAAGTGTGCACATGTCTTATGACGCATTTCAGCATTTTAATGGCTTTATGATGGCTCTGTTGTTTTTAACTAAACAGAGAATGTATTTCAAGAAAACCAGTATTTATTTTTGTCATGCTGCCATGGGCAATTTTGTTGCTTGAAATACCTCCTTAACTAGCAAATATATTTCCACTCCAACTCACTCCTTGTTCTCTGTACCGTGGTAATGTTGTACTCCTGCTCCTAGGATGTTTTACTCTAGCCAGAAAGCACAATGTTTTACAGTTTTTTGAAGTAAACGTTTGTGAAGATTAGATTAGAGCAGTGTGTTCTGCACAGTCCTGGCCTAGTTGTTATTAGTGTACATTTATACACTTTACTACGTAAGTATCCCTTAAGCCTGCATTAAAATGTAAGGTATGTATACATGTACCATTCATTCATAATGTGTGGACCATCGACTTTTATAGGATATAAGCACATTGAATAGATACACCATTTCTTTCATCCAAATATACGTGAATCTTACATTTTTTTAAATCACATTTAGTGCTCAGTACGTATTTTGAACACCCTGTATGGTTTGCTAGATTGTATGTTTTCGACAGTTAAACACTCGGAGAAAAAAAAATAACTCAACTACTAATGTCGTTTTCTAAGTGTTATTTTTTTAATATGATGCATTTGTACAAAAAGCCATAGGCCTACATGTTTTGATAATAAACCACTTAATTTATTATGTCAATAAAAGAACACTTGATGTGATCGTCTGTGGTTATTGTGTTGGAGTTTGATGACAGTATGGGAAGAAAGTATGAAAGTCCAAAGAAGAACTAGAAGAAGAAAGAGGACCACCTGCTGTTTCATGTTGCCCTCCTTCCTACATGTCCTCAGTTCTACACAAAACAATGTCCAAGAGTTCAGAAGTGCTCAGGAAGAAGCTCCAGCTCCTTTTTGATCCTCTTCTCCACCAAAAGACTGAAGTTGTTGTCCGTCATCGGGAGACTGTAACTCACGTACACTTGCTTTTTAGTTTTCTTTGCTGCAAAACAGACAAAAACAGACAATCATTTCAATTTAGTTTAGCTAACACACTAAATGGTTTGCTATACTATGCAGAAGGGCAGCTAATAGATGACTTTTGGAGTCTTGCTGAATGACTTATTTCCAATAAATGAATGTGCACATTTGTGGTAAAAAAAAAAACGTGGTACTTCAGCATGATGCTACATAGAGAACCTCAGTTTCACACATCTGACGAATGAAGAAACGTATCGATTAGCTGACAAGATCTTATGATTGGACCCCATCAGTGTTTTGCATGTTTTAGCCAGATAACAAACATTTACAAAAGCGTGCCAAAGGACTTCTGTGTGTTTTCCCCACATATTCCAAGAAGCCACTGTTTTTTTAATTTGATTCTGGTTGGTATGGAGATCGACCTGTTAAGACTTGAAACTCACATCTGGAGCCAAGCATAGTGAATATCATTATCACTTTTATTTTTGTCAAACTCGTGAATCGTTTTGTGGTTACATAGTACATTTACCCAAGTGCTGTACTTAAGTAAAAATAACAAAGAATGTTACACTATTCTATAATAAAATAAAGGGAAAAATACTTTTGATACTTGAGGTACATGTTGGAGATAATACTGTAGGCTTATTCAAGCAGCATTCAGAATGTAGGACTTTTACTTTTAATTGAGTATTCTTTGATGGTGCTATTTCTACTTTTACTAAAGATATAAGTACTTCTTCCACCACTGCATAGCAGAGACTTTTTAAATCAACTCACACATGCAACTGTATTAACACAACTGCAGGATTTGGAGAACTGTTAAAACTAAAATGAATTAAAAGCAGTTTCAAATATATGGGATAAAACATTGAAATATAAATGAATATAACCACAGCTGAAAATAGCGTTAGTGTTTAATAAGTTATTATAACTTTCTCCATTAACAGCAATAAAAAGACAATACATTTGTAGAAAAGCAAAACATAATTACCTAATCTCTGCGCCAAGGAATTTGCAGCAGTGTTAGATGGGTCCCCCATGACTAATGTCGATAAAGGCATTGAATCCTGCAGACAAAAAGCAATGAGTAGAACAGCGGTTATTCTCTAGGCAAGACAAAATAATTAGATATCCGACATAAAAAAAGAATGCTAGACTTTCTTATTATCTGTTCGTCAGCTGGTGTTCCCAAATGTGTCAGCTTTGTGTTTGTAGTGTTATAGTCAGAACTGTACTTTATATTACATGTCATTTGTTAGATGATTTTATCCAAAGCGACTTACATACATTCAGTACTGTGGACAATCCCCACAGGAGCAATTTGGGGTGAAGTGTCTTGCGCAGGGACACAACGACATGCTGACTGCAGTGGGACTCGAACTTGATATCCCCTGATTCGAAATCCATCACACTATCCACTGAGCCACAGCCTCCATTTTAGGCAGCAGATTTATTATATTATTTAAGTATACATTAAGTATAAATGTTACTTAATAACACTGATGGAACAATCATATACAAATCTAACGTTTTTAATGGTTAAATAAATCAGTCCCTATATTTACAATGAAATGTACTGCACACACAGGCCTAATACTCCCAGATATACGCTGCAAAGTAAAAGGATAACAATACCGTATAGAAAGTACAAAAGAGATTAATGCATTTTTTTTAAAGAATATTCCTTTTAATAAAACAATAAGTATTAGAGAATATACATATAACATATACATTTGTAAAAATAAGTGAAGTAAAACATATACACAATTTCCCTCTGATTTTTTGCGTAGTAGCCTATTAGTATAACGTAAAGTACAGTGGCGGGAGTGTGTACTGAAGTACCGTACTTGAGTAAATGTACTTAGTTACATTGCATCCCTGTTAATTAAATTGTCTACTCACATATTTGCTGCTCATGGAGACCGCCAGGTTGGACAGAACCGGACTCGAACCGACCCACAGGAAGAACCCGCCGCTCAGCTTCATCACGTGAAAGTGTATGGACTGCTCCAAAATTTTCTCCGAAAAATTATGCACCGTAATGGCCTCAAACACTTCTCCGTTTTGTGTCTCAATCATCTTTTTGGTTTAAGTCTATCTAACATTGACTAGCAAACATTTAAACTCGTGCTAGCTGCAAACAGAAACAGCTACTTCCGGTTCCGGATGAGAGAAAAACGGCAGTCTAAAGTAATCGATTGTCAATGCTCTCACGTGCAGCACCAGCACAACCGATCGTGACCATAAAACAGTCAGTGGTGAAGAGAGTATTTAAGATTAAAGATAATCCGTAACAAATAAAAGCAATGCATTTAAATCCAAAAATTGTAAAATATACTTTGAAATATACAACAATATACAATATTTGAAATATACAACATTATTTTAAGAATAATTTTAGTGGATTATAATTATTGACGCATTAATGTGTTCATCCCTTTGCAGATGGCAAACAACACGATGTCAGGCTAATTTTAACTACTTTAAATACTGATTTATTTGTAGATTTGTTTTGTATTTTCATAGTATGAATGTGAGAGTAACTTTTGTGAGTTGTAAAATAAAAAGTAAATCAAATAAATGTGCTTTATTGATGCTAAATAATCATTGTAAAATAATTTAAATTACAAGTTAATGTTATCGCCTTTTCTTTTGTACATTACTTTGTAAGGACAAAATGAACCCCAAAGTTTAATTTAAAAAAATCGTAACTGTAGTTTTGCAATGTTGAAGTTATTAATACGGCTGTATAATTTAGCTTTGCATTAGTGTTTGATTTCCAAAAGAAAGTAGCTGCAGACATTTTACTTTATTTTGACAAAATCTTTGTAAAGGTAAAAGCTAGCAGCTAATGTTACAGCCTTTTTTTTTCTAAATGACATAGCTTTACATTAGCTACAACTACACTCTTTTTTTTACCGATTACCCAATGTGGGAAATAACTCACCTACTTGATTCACAAAAAATGTAATTACAGAAATGTTAAATTAAAATATGAAACATTTTTACAATTAATGCATCATGAAAACCAAGTAAAAATTAAATAATCAGTAACAAAATCAATATTTTAATTTAAATATATGCAATGATATATACGCAATTCTGTTTTTTCTCGAGAAAATGGTCAGTGGTTATTTCACAGTGTTAACTAATGGATCAGTCTTCCAGAAAGTCTTCCACCAGCTTGTTGAATTCATCAGCGTACCTCAGGTGGAGATTGTGTTTACCCTCTGGCATCAGGTGTAATCTAGATTAGGGACAAAAAAAAAGAATCACATGTTATATTTCCTCATTTGAGATTTTAGTATTATTGCTGTTTTTAAATGTATATGTGTGTAGCATCTCACTGTGATCCCTTGATGTGTTTGAGAAGGTATTGTGGGTGGAAGTTGGGCACCATGGGGTCTTTCTCTCCATGAATGATGAGGGTGGGGCAGCTGATCAGGGGCAGAAGTTCCATGCAGATACTCCCTGACAAGAGGACAGTAAAGTTACAATCTTGACTCTGCTTTCATTACAACAAAACAAAAATAAGGAAGCATCTTCAATGTGTTCTCCATGTTTTCCTTGTGCAAAATAGTAGCGGAGATCTTGATGCAAAATGTATTTTCCTGCATGGTTTTCCGTTTACTTATGTCCTGAATCTGCATCATCATGGTTTCAGTACCTTCGGGTCTTTTTGCATACTGTGCGATCCCATCCACCCAGGCCTTCCAGGTTTTCGCGAAGACTTCTGCTCCGTACACCTCCTCCATGGGCTGCCTCATCCTCGCACTCCACCTGGAGACGTCACGGACCGCTGCATGTTTCCAACAGACACCCATCCACACATGAGGATACACAGTATACACAGTTCACACAGTTTGGGACTACATTGGCAGTTAAAGACAATGAGAGGTAGAGAGCGTGTACCCTCGTAGAGTTCCAGGTCCTGCTGGGAAACGAAGGCGTTGGATCCCCATACAACCATCCTGCTGATCAGGTCGGGGTTCTTAGCTGCGGCCATCATGGCGGTGATTCCTCCGTCACTCCACCCCAGGAGAGAGAACTTGTCAAAGCCCAGTGCCTGACAATTAAATGAAAATTACTAAACATTCCTAACAAAGTCCCTACTTTTTTTTTTACGTTTGATATGCAACAAATGCAGAAATGACAGTGGAATGCAAAAGGTAAAACAAGAACATACTTGTGTGAACATTTGTGTGCATTGGTTCCTAAACCAAGTGTTAATTAACAAACTGTGTGTTTGATTTGAATATTATCCTCTGTGTCAGAGAAACAGGGAGAATGCATTAGATTTGAGCATTAATGCTTAGTTTCTAGTTATATAATATGAAAAAGGGGTAGGACTTAATAAGTATTTAACATAATAATACTGGGTTTTGTTTTCTTAATATATGTTTTCATAATAAAATACAATTTTAGGTTTCTTCTTTTGAGGATTTATTAGAGGAGGTATTTTTTTTTATATAACCTCATTCTTTAACACTTGAGGAAGAGTTTTGCTTATTTTAAGTCTATTAGGTGCTAAAGAAAATATATTATGGTATGTTAATTATTATTCTGATGCCACATGGATTTCACTCCACAATCCTGTGTTTTTTAGCTGCTGGGACAATTTAATACTGCATTATTTTTATTTGATATCCCCTTTTATTAGGTTGTCTTTTAATTATCATTATATTTTTTAATCTTGCTTTAAGTTTTCCTTTTTTTTTTTTAATGGCATTGAACTAAAATGCATGCTCTGAGATTTACACACCATCTGTCTTCCAAACATATGATGCTACAGGCTTCTCTGCAAACTTTGCAATTCAGGTGGTAATAATTATCAACAGGCTGATCAACAGACCTTCATCAGATCCACTGCGTCCTGTGCATCCCTCTCAAAGAAGTCAGGTGGGAAGTCTCTGTCTGGGGGGCGTGACTTTCCGTAACCACGGGGATCCCATCCCACCACAGTGAAGCGCTCCTTATTCAGAGACTTCAGTTGGGGTCCAAAATCAGTCCGAGTGCACCCTGTGGAGGAACATAAAATAACAAAGTTCTGTAAACGATATAAGGCAGAGAGAAGAAGAGGAATGTTGTTGTATTTACCCAGAGCGCCAGGAAGCAACAGCAAAGGGTGTTTCCCGCTGCCTGTCTGCTCGTAGAACAGATCCACTCCATTAACACGCTGCCTGCCCAAGGCCATCGACGAGCTGCAGGGAAACACACAGGTACACTGACTCAGTAATGGTCCTGGTGATGGATAAGAACAGAATAGCCAGTGTTTCCCCTACCATTGTCTTGGAGGGGCGCTGCGCCTGAAATTCAAGGTGTTTATAAAAAAAAAAAAAAAATTATAATCTTTTTTTTTTAATAATTTTTTTTTTTAATATATATATCAATATATATATAGCACCAAATTGCAACTAATCTATATATACTGTCACTTTTCACATTGAACATGTGCTCTTTTATTAAATAAACTAAACGCTTTCATTTTAAGTTGTGAGTTTAGTGTTTTTGACCCTAAGAAACACTGATGCATTAATCAATAACAATAATCCACAGCTCCTCTCTCTGCTCCAGAGGATTTAAAAAATATATATCCCAATATCACAGTGTTATTGTTATTTGCAAAAATAATGAGAAATTAAGAAGAAAAAAAATAAGAAAACAATTTATTTTGAGAGGAAGTCTTCTCAACAATTAATACTATGCATGATACATTAGTACTACAAATCTTACTCGAAAAAAAGTAAGTAACTCTCTCAGCGGCGAAACTGTATGCGCTGGGGGGTGGTAGTGGCCCCCTCAGCACGCCCCCCCTTCCCGCGTCAATGCGCGATGTCTTGCTGTCTCGCAGATCCCACGCAGCAAGCAGGAAATGAAGTGAACCCAGCTCACACTGTCCGCTCCTCGCAGCAGCGAGCCGCGCAACGTCCCGCCAACACGGCACCCAGACCCCACGCAGCATTCTCATCTGTTTGTCCTTACCTGCTGAAAAAACCAGCATAGACCAGCATGGTCTTTGCTGGTTTATGCTGTTTCATGCTGGTCTATGCTGATGAAGCTGGTTGTTATGCTGGTCTGCCGGCGCAAAAGGCTGGTAGACCAGCATGGTGTTGCTGGTGAAGCTGGCATACCAGCATGGCGTTGCTGGTGAAGCTGGTATACCAGCATGATGTTGCTGGTGAAGCTGGCATACCAGCATGGCGTTGCTGGTGAAGCTGGTATACCAGCATGATGTTGCATGGTGAAGCTGGCATAGCAGCATGATGTTGCTGGTGAAGCTGGTATACCAGCAATGTTTCATTAATGAAGCTGGTCTACCAGCATTTTTTGCTGGTGAAGCTTGTACACCAGCAAGGTCTCAATGATGGTTCAACAGAATTTTAGCTAAACACTGTTTACATATTAATAATGCAGCCAGTACTTACAAGATATTTGTAGCTGTAACTTCTTTATTTTTAGGTATAAAAGAAGTGATGGTGTCATTTTCTGGTCGCTAACGCCATTGTAACACATAATCACTGATGTTCCGCTGTAACGGTGGTAGACTCATCAGAACAGAGTGGGCGAGCTGACCAATCAGAGCACAGTGGGCTCACAGGGAGCTCCAACAAGCCGTTTAGGACAGAGAGTGAATACACCAGGCTACTATACAGAGATGCTGTATGAGAAACCTATGTGAGTTTGGAAAATTGCACAATATAAATCTATTCTAGTATACCTCAACAATGGAATTATGATCAGTAGAAATGGCCATGACATGGGACCTTTAACAGTGGACATAATGCGCCATCTAGTGGCTTTAAATCAAACAAACCTCGAGAGAAATTCTGCTGAAAAGACGAGGAACATGTTGAGTTGAAATTGCAAACCTAGGTTGCAAACAGCAGGGCAGACATTTCCTATTTCACACTGCAACGCTCCGTGGTTAAAGTCCACATTTGGATGTGGATATTAACATGCAAACATCTAACATAATTCACTTACCAGTACGACTGGACAGCTGTCATGGCTCTCTTTATGTCAGTTCTGGGTTTGAAGAAACGTCCTCTCAGTAAAAACGCCGCCATTCTTCACGACTCCAGACTGAGCAGGTTTCCGCTGCAGGTCTAAAAAATATAAACTGGTTAAAGATTGAACAAAGTCTCTTTCTGACTGCAGTCATGCATTCCTGCACTGCACATTTGTTGGTGGTAAATAGGAAATTGCAGTCAGTTTGGCACTTTCCACGTAGTCTTTTGACATTTAAAAAAAGAGCGAAAGTACGAAAACGAAACGAAAGGCAATACAACGGGAATGAATAATTCATTAAAACAGTAGTTTACAGATCGTTGACATTTTGTTAGCAAGAGACAAAAGGCAGTTGTTATTTTCAGACAATAATTTCCACGTAAAGCTCCATAGAAAGCCCCATTTATTAATTAATACATTATTTAACATTGGACAAACTTAACTTAGGCTACTAACTCACATTTTTTGAGTAATCTGTTTGCCTGTAAAATTAAGTATACCTTTCTATGGGCTATGCCAGAATGCACATTTATTTATTTAAAGTTGTTCTTTTTTGAATAATTTAGATTCCACTATAAACATGTTACCACTAAGTGACGTTCAGGCCAAATGGTCCCCAAACATACAAAGCCTTCTTTAGACCTTTGATAAACAAACAAAAAGACAAAAAGACACTTAATTGAGATTTGATAGCACTTGCATTGATAATTTGCTGGGTGTAACAAACAAATTGACAAATTGTTTATGTCTGAGGTCATTCTTATAATTGTTTTTTAAAGTAGCCTATGATTTCATCTTCATCATATCAACTTTAGTGTCTATTCAACACAGTTCCCATCCCCTCCTCCCACATACACAATTACACATAGGCTACAGTGATTCTCTGACGGAGGTGCTTTTATACATTTCCAAGTTTGACCCCACTGCTGTAGATGAGCTGTTCAGACCTAATTCTCTGAGGCAGACAGGAAGACAGATTTTTGTAAACGCCTCCACTCTCTTTTGCCTGTCAGTGAGTCTGACATATGTGCCACACACTGAACCACACACAGTAACACAACAAACGGTGACAAAGCCGGGCTAAAAATATCTTGATGAACGCGGAAGGATTTGTTGAAGATAATTTACTGGAAATGTAGTGGCAAGTAAATTGAAGTGAAAGTCCACTGAGAATTTCAAATAAATTGGGAATTCTCAGTTACAAGATATAACTTACTAAGTTCATTAGCAATTCTCATGACATTAAATAAAGATAATGAATTATCTAGCTGATAAAACAATGATAATGTAAGAATTTTCCAAGTTTTATTTAATAGTAAACTTAATATCTACTAAATATCTTTGAGGTTTTAGAGATGGCAGTGTGTCAACTGTTTAGTCCAACCGCACAAGATTGAAATAAATCAGCAACTTTTGGATGGATTTCCATGTAGTTTGGTACAGATATTTATGATCCCAAGATGATGAACCCATTGACTTCGGTGTTGAATGCCACGGCATGTGGTCCATTCCTTGACCCTTACCTCTAGAGCCACCAGCTGGTCAAAGTTTTCACTTTCACTGACTTTAATTTATCTTCAACATAGGTTTGCATGAAAATGCAGGAATATAAAAATACCTTTGTGTCAAGAAACTTCACTTAAACTGGAAATATAGTAAGAGAATTTCAACTGAGAAAAGACAAATTAGCTAAAGCCCCTAAACGTTGTCTCAAATGTTCATCATTTAATGTACAACGTCAATATTTTCTATAAATCATTGTTAGATCGTGAGGTTTTCCAGGGCCTTGCTAAGGAATTCGAAGCAATGAGTCACTTCATATATACCTCAGGAATATTATGTGGAGATTTATTGTGAGTGCAGTAATTTGAGCTTCTTCCAGAAGGGCTCCTTGTACGGTAAAGTACCTCAGCAGATAGTGATAGCCATGCCTAAGCCACTGTTGGATCTGTTATCCTCTGGCCCTCAACCATCTTTGTCTGTATGGTATGTGCCCATCCACAGTCCCATGACCCAACTCCTGGTCTAAATTTAAATACCCGAGTAGCACTCCTAAGGTCACATTACGTCATCCCAAGCGACACATTCTCAATCAAGCAGCAGTCGTTGCACGAGCTGTGGACGCGACAAACCCTTTATGATATCCTGGGTACAAAAAAAAGTCATCAGGGGTGGCTTGATAAAGATGGGACACATTAACAGTGACCTTCTGGGGGGAGGGCTTGACCGGAGCTAAAGAATAAATAAAAAAATCTAAATTGTGCTCTAATATTGATGTGCTAAATCCTCAAGACTTTTTGCTGACATGGGTAACGGAATTAATAAGGTACAGTATCAAATCTCTACAAAACATGATTCACCTTAATGACCTTGTTGTACGTTCACAGCCTCGTCTTACTTATTTGACTCAATTTCTAACTGTCTTTAGGTTCTGCCTCATCTGTATCTCGGAAATATCAAAGGTAAGATGTCCTGCCTCCTGTCATTTGAGTCTAGAATTAATTTATTTTCAGGATAATGTAATAGAGTGTGTTTCAGTTCCTCATACAGAGGGGCATGTGGTGAGATGCTACACTGAGCTCAGTTTCTATATAGTGGAGAGGTCACAGTGTAGGGCAGAATGATTGAAGTAGTATATTTTGATGAACAAAACAGTTTTTTGTCAGAAGCCGGAGGAAAGATATTTAGGGCTGCTGAGTACGTGAGGGTTGGTGTGGGAGGGGATGCCCCGCAGCGTGGGGGTGTCCCCACTGCAAACTGTATCCACATCTTTCCATTTGTTTGTTTTTTCATGTGTGCACGCTTGTAATGGTGACTGCTAAAATGAAATATCTTTCAAATATGTACAATTTAAAGTAAACATGACAATTTCAGGGAACCTCTGTTAAATAGAAAAGATGACGCACTTGCTCGGCATGTTTTACATCATATGAAACCTTATCTATAGGTGTGAGCAAGTGTGAGAAAGTATGAGGAGACTTAAATTGTCCCAGCCTCTTATAGTGTAAGAAGTTCCCTGGTCTGTTATAAAATGACAACAAAGTAACTACTGAAACAGTGAAGTTGCGAAAAAGCTGAGATGGGTGTTGCTAAGCTAGTTACTTTAGCTTGCGCAGCAATTTGCGTTAGCAGAGTTTCTTATTCTGCATAGACCTAATTGTTGGATTAAGATACTGCCTATTGTGTGTATTGTAGTTAAATTGGCAAGATGTCATAAATCAAAATAGATATGTAAAGATAAAAGCTAGGAAAATATCAATAAGTAACTTTAGTTTTAACATTAGCTGAGGATATCTCACCAGCTAACATTAGCTTATTAGCTCTCTTGCGTCTATTTTGCCTTCTTTTTCTAGTTACTGCTAATTTGACATGGTGTTTTCACAGAAATCCAACATTTCTATTACAATTATTGTATAAGGTGAAACACCTTTAAATCTTGAGCATTTAGTGACTGTGTTTCTGGCTTCATTGGGCAGCTTCACTGTCATGTGCTCAGCAGAGACAGTTGTTGGCATTGTGTAGCCCGTGAAAATATTTATCTCATGACCAACACACTTGTGGTCTTGTCTCTTTATGACCTTCATATCACTCGCTTACAGTTACACAATCAGATTGTGTTTCCTTTGCAGCTAGCATAAAGACTTATATTGTAGCCTACTCGTTTATTCATCTATTTTTCAATTCATATTGTATCAGGTTTTTTTTTGGTTTTGCAATTTGTATAAACTCATATATGTGTTGAATTGGGGTAAGTGTAATTAATATAGCTGACAGGAAAGTTCACATTCAATTATTTTGTAAGGGTTGCATTAGCATCCTGCAAACGTGCAAAGCATGAGAAAAAGTTGCTCAAGACACATCTGTCCAAGGTAGAAAACATTTGGCTTCCTTTTAAAGAACAAAATTTGATTAGAAGAATTACTGTTTCTTGCTTCTGGGCCAAGCTGTTGTACTGTTTTAGAAACATTGGTTTTCCGGTTTTTCTTTCAGTTGAAAAAAAAGGGCCGTTTTAAGGCCCTATTTGCTTGGGAGAGATCAGGGGAGGGGGGTTGTTGTAGGGTAGAAACTGCTTTATTTAGATTGGATCTGACATAGGGTGATTTGTGATTGGAAGTAAGGAATATTTTAGATGTCGGATTTCTTTGTGCTCTGCAGATGCACGAGACCGGGAACTGTTGGCGCGGCACAACATTACCCACATCCTGTCCATCCACGACACAGCAGCACCCATCCTCGAGGTGAGCTGTCTTCTCTGTGTCTTACTTCGGCCTGTGGGACCCTCTGACCCCAACATTGATACAGCTATTACGTGTACAACCTCCCCTGAATTCTCTGTGGCTTTATTTCCTCCTAAGAGCCCATATGCTTGTTCTGAAATTATGAAATGTTTGCAGCATACATGAGATACCATTTTTTCAAAATGAATATCTTCATCGGGGCTTTAGCCTACAAAAAAGAAATCGTTATCTATTAATCTTTCAATTAATTCTCCAATGGCTTAGTCTGAATAATTGTTAAAAAAGTGAAAAATATCCATCACAATTTTACAAATTCTGAGGTGACTTCACTTGGTTCAGTAACTTGAACCAGCTTTTGTTTCAGCTCTAATATGCATTATAGAATTGTTATCCTCAGATCTATCACCTTTAACCACAGATTTCGTTGCATTTTGAAAGGATAAATATGAGACAAAGGGTGGTGTAATAAGCTCTACTCAAAAGTAGAGATTTTCAGTTGAGATAGACCACTTCAATTAATGTGAAAGTCAGATGGTCTTTTCAATTCTGCACGGAAAGTCCTTTTATCTTGTATCAGTCAGAAGACCTGGAATTCACCAGGTGTCTCTAAATAAGCAGTTTTCTGGTTCACTTCAATATTGTATAGGATCCCATGAATATTTGAAAATTTGTTTGCCAATTTTAGTCTTTAGTGCAGCTGTGATGCAGATGCAACCTTTTTTTTTTTTTCACACAAGATGCTTTTAACTCAGTATCTTGTAGTCCATAAAGTCTTGAAAGTGCAACTGTATTTAAAAAAAAAAAAAAGGCTGCTGACTTTTCACAGCTGCATCTATACGTGGCGATTCGTGTATGAAGGGGAGAGAAAGGTGTTTCTTCTTGTGTGTCAGGAGCAAGTGAGTGTCGAAAAAGAGACGATTCTACTGTGAGAACCTTTGGCTGCAGAAATAAGAATATAACATTTGCAAAATCTGTTCTTAGAGTTATACAGTTTTATTCAGAGATTTTATTATTTAACGATCCATTTAAGTTTAATTTAATCGTCCTTTCAAATTGAATGAAATGTCCATCTCTCTCCGTTTGTGTTTGACTTGTTTTTGAAAATCCTGATTTCCAGTGTTTGCTTTCACAACTTTCATCTTTTCTTGTTGAAAGCGAGCATGAGAAGTTCTCGGAGATTTCTGTACACTTTCCCCATCCATGCTAGTATCATTGAACTCTGAAGAGAAACAGCAACTTGTATTACAGTATCACTACACAAACTGGTCAACCACCAACACTTTTTAAAAGGATTTAAGATTGAAATTAAGCCTGAGTCGCTGAACTGTGCTACAGCTCTTTACAAATCTTTGATCATGATCGTTAGATTGTTCTCACATTCAAAAGCTATTTTTAGCTTTGTGGCATAATGATGACTCAGGTCTGTTTTTACCAGTTTAGCCCAAATGGCCAGATGGGATGGTGCATTTGCATACCTAACAGTCAAACTGCTGACAGATTGATTTCTTGGAAGAAACGGTGATGGTTCCTGCGAGAGGAAAGTAGAATTTGCAATTTGGTGATTTTAAAAACACTGAGTCATGGTCTTGATGAGTTTTAAGAGCGATGGTGCAAAGATACTTCTCAGCATTTGTTTTACATAACCTCACAATTAAACTAATGTAAGAGTTACATGCTGGGTCAATATGCACGTCTGTGTATACGTGTGTCTGTATATGTGTATGTGTGTTTATGTGTTTGTGTTTGTGCGAGTACTTTGTCTGGTTGGTGTGTGTGCGAGCTAACCTGTCTGGAGCACTTCCAGAGCTCAATGTGTCCCAGAGGACTCAGGGGTTTTTGCAGCGGTTCAGTCATAACCGGACAAGGTAGTTTCTGTCCACTGCATGTACCATCAGCTGCCAGGTGCACGTACAAAAACACACACATTACACAAACACACATGAATATCATTAAGTTGGGACCTACCATGCCAGCAGGGTCAGAGGCGCAACGTTTCAGGGGCCGTCCCATACATTGAAAAACAGGAAGTGTCTAAGACCCCCGAGTTCAAACAGATGACGTATAGAATTCAATGTTAAATCTTCATATATTATATCAAAAATGTTTATTTGAAAAAATACAGTTTTATGTTTTTTAAGTCTAAACTCCTCCCCCTTTGCCCTTTAAGGAGATGACATACCTGTGTATATCTGCTGCTGACAGTAGGCTGCAGAACCTGTGAGTACTTACATGATATATATATTTATATACACATTTTATATGTTAGGTTCACTGTGTTCGAAAGTAATTCCATTTAGGATCTGATATATCTTCTATATGATGGTTTGTGTAATAAGAAAATACAAGTCCTACAAGAGTTTGGTCAATTGTCTTTGTGATGTCTGGTCTTATGTTTTATGAATGAAATTATTTTATATTTAGGTACTCTTATTTAGGACATTAAGTAGCACACATACAGTCCTATTACTGAATGTATCTAAAATGTATACCAAGTGTATTATGTCTTATACTTGGTGAGCAGGTGCAGTAGACAACATTTGATGGAATAAAAACTGCAGAAAAGATTATCACTACTTAATTAGGTTGAATTATCAATTGGAATTGAATACATAGATTAAATAATTAGTAAAGATTTCAGATTGACTGTTTAAGTGTATTTTGATATTGTGTGTTTTATGTGGTTATCCTACCAGGGTTCAGTACTTCAGAGACAGCATCATGTTTATCCACGAGTCCCGACTGAAAGGAGAGGGCTGCCTTGTCCACTGGTGAGTAAAAATACTATGAACTGTAATCTTTCTTTATATTTTAGTATGCATAACCTTAAAACTGGTGTTGTTTATGAGGATGTAGGAAGGAAGAAGCACAGATATTCAGCTTAAATTGCTCTTTGTTTAAAATGAGTAGTATTGGCCTCAAGTGGAAACTTTTTTTGTATTAAACACATTTTTGTTTAAAATGTACCAAAAAAAAAAGAAATTGGTTATGCTTGTAATATAAATATCATCAAATGTCCAACATTACACCACAGTATTAAAGGAAAAGGGGTTTCACTACTCTGTAAAGTGAATGTGACCTGTGTGCCCTCAGTGTGGCGGGGGTGTCCCGCAGTGTGACCCTGGTGGTGGCCTACATCATGACGGGGACGGGCCGCGGCTGGGTGGAGTCTCTGGCGGCGGTGAGAACGGCTCGGCCGTGTGCGGGGCCAAACCTGGGCTTCCTCCGTCAGCTGGAGGAGTTCGAAAATACAGAACTGACAGAAGTGAGTGACACCTCGCTAGTGTTATAATAATTAACATTTCATACTATAAAATCCCAAAGATGATTGTTCTTTTGTTTACCTCTCTATATACGTATTAGTTTAGATTGTGGCGGAGTCTGCCATTACTAGGTGTGATTATATAGTGTACCCATGCATAAGGGATTAACAGTACCCCACCCGTTTCAGTTAGTGGTTGGTTTGTCCGTTCTGGGCAATTGAACTTGGAGATGCAACATGGCGGGCTCTGTATGAATTAACTGCTCCCTATGTAGATAGGAAGGGCTCCTTCTAAGGTTACAACAGCATGATGGTTCTTAGTCTAAGTGACAAAAACATAATCATGAATAGTATAATCAATTTTTGCCAATATATCCCTATACATCCTAAACAGTACTCCGTTAACACCTTGCTGAACATTGTTTGATTGCCCTCTCTGGTTGAAAGTTCCAAGACTATTCCACTTTCTTTTGGCATTTTTGCCTTTTTTATTTTGACATTGATGAGGCAAACAGAGGTAATAGGAAGAGACAGGGGGGTGACATGAAACATTTGTCTGAGGTCCCCTGTTACAGTCCCCTGTATCACTTCTGACAGTTGCAACACCACACACTTCTGATCACACCCTGTTGGCTGTGGTCAGCAGTGAGTGCTGATGCACCTCTAACCCCACCCCTCAGTGATACCGCACACACTTCAGTACACTTTTACCTCACTGGAGCTAGGTGAGGTCTCAAAAAACAACTTTCCGGGATTGTTGCTCTATAGCAGACAACAAAAATGACATTTGAAAATAAAATTGCCACATATATAAAACCAGCCAGGCATGAAACAAACGTTAGCACTGCTCTGAACAGGCACAATCAAATGAGGGACAGAATATCCGACAGTAACAAATGAAATAATGAAACACACTTCAAAGCCATTTATGGTGTTGTCCTCTATACAAAGAGCATGTGTTAAATTGGTATGCTTATCTGATATTCGTAAAGTTACAAAAATTGGCCGATGCAGGCTCCCTGTTTTGGAAATCTGATCCAAGTGAGTTAGGAGCGGGTTCAAACACTGTCAAACAATCTGATAAGGATGTCAATTGAACCATGCTGACCCCATTAAATGAAATTGCCTAAACCATAGGACTGAAATCCTCCTTTAGAGACTCCTCTCTGTCTTAATCTTCCCTCAATGTGAAACACTTTCCAACTCTTTCATTCTGTCACAGCTGTCAGTTCTTCATCTGACTCACTCCTAAACTCCCCTTCTCTGCTTTCCCCCTACAGTATCGAGCCTGGTGGAAGGACCGATACGGGAAGAACTCCTTCAACGATGATGAGGAGGTGGAAGACCTTTTGAACCGAAAATTAAACGGTGGCAGCAGCAACGATACCTTTACAACCAGCATTTCTCCACTGGGCACGAGTAGCACATGAGAGTCTCGTCTTTCCTGAACTCAAGCAGCTGAGGGACTGTGCTCGGACCATTACAACCACTAAGACCAGCTGTTTGCCTCAATCACAGGACCTGCAGAGAAAAGCTACAGCAGAGACACGTTATGTATATATTACATCTCATGTTCGCAAAGGAGTCATGTGAGTGGGGGGGATTTTTTTACGACCATTATCTCAGTCCCCCCCTTGTCGTGTCGTGTCCTCGCCTCAAACTGTCAAAACAACATGCAAGAGCAGCCAAGCATGACACCAAGGAAATATATGTACATATACAGTCCACAGAGTGAACATGTTTAACAGCGATCTCTCCCCCTGTTAGTTACGTTATGCTGTGTCCTCTACTTGAAAAATGAGTATTATGCGTTCTATATAGACCGTGTTAAAGCTGAAAAATACTGTGTCTTCCAGTCAAACAGTATCAGAAACTGTATTTATTGCAGTTTTATTTACGAATGTTTATTTTTGTTTGTACTTGAAACGGTAGCCTACTCTTAATGCCATGAAGGATTAACAGTAAGAGCCTGGTTTTAATTGTAATGTCTAACATTTGATTGTGAATGATTCCCAACCATTTTGGCTTCCGTGAATTTACTTTTTATGTAATAAATCATTAACATTACATTTTATTTTATGTACTGTGTATTTGTTTATCTATTTCGAGAAGTGGCTCCTATCTTGCAAGCTGGGGAAAAGGATCAGAAAGGCATAACAAACACATTACTGCTCCACAACATTTGAACATGTTTAGACTCATTTGTGGATCATTGTAGGCATATAAAAAAAAGCAAATAGTTATTAGCCTTTGCTGGAACTTGTCTCAACTGGTCAGCGATAGAAGGCTTTTCTGGATACTTTACTTAGTTCAATTTAAAGTAATAGGATGACTATAGACATCCTGATAAATGTTAATGTTAATATAGTACAACTAATATAGTTTTATATATAACATCATTACATTTTATGAGGATATTATTAAGTAGGATGAGCTGTTAAATACATGAAGTAAGGTAAAAAGTACAATTTATCTAAAATGTAATAAAGAGTATAAATAAATAGATGAATTTAAATCCTTTTCACCTCTTTGTGATTGTACTAAATGATTGCTTTATTTTGGATCTAGTTCTCTTAACATTGTTTTTATCTTGTTTTTTCTTTCGTGGCCATTTGGGCATTCAAAGTTGCTACAAATGAAGTTATTACAAGAAAGACTTTCTCAACTACTGTAAATATCTTTTTTAAACTGATTAAATCTAATAAACTGGTGGCACAAGCCAAAATGGAACAATTAAATCAAAGTACATTTACTCAAGTACTGAACCATTTTGAGGAACCTTATGATTGTTACTTATTTTTAAAGGGAAATGTGGCTCTTTGTATTATCTATTTTTATTGATTTAACAGATTATGAGATTATACAATAAAAGATATGCTGATTTCATAAAATATATTAAAATGTTATGCGATAAAATACTCAAAAGTGTAATATTTAGAAATAATTACTACTTGACCTGTTGCACTATAACAATCTTTCTTATTGGCAGGAGTGTTATGTTATTAAGTATGTACTCAAGTAAAAAGTGGAGTAACTTCTAATTTACTTATGCTAATGTTCTTTTACTCCACTATAAATTGTAGGCAAATGTTGTACTTTATATTAGTATATTATATATATTTTTCTACAACACTGATATGAGTCAATACTGCAAAAGGATAAAAACATATTTTTGAAAATGTTGAGATCATTTTGATTTTTGTAGTTGAAAATACGTTTTTGAATGCAGGACTTGGGTATGTGTTTTAGTAAAGTCAAATCTGTCACATAGGTTGAGAATCGGTGATTTAAAGCGTTAGAGACATATTTGTTATTTTTAATGAAGTTCTAATAAAGCCTATATTGTAGGCAACACCTCTAACTTGATGGACTGTTTTTATTTTGTGCTCACTTTACGGTAATTGTTTCTATACAATAGTGCATTATAACTAAACGACACAGTTTCTAATAAACCTATAGCGGTATCATTTCAATGGTTCTATAAAATCTCCCTGTGGCAACAAACTCGTTTTTCTTTCCTTTTACTTTTGCAGCAGGACTACTAGCTACTTTTCGTAAAGCTTTATCGTTTCAAAGAATTGTTTTCGTCTCCGTGCCACGATTTTCCGTGTGTGCGGGTGTGTGACAC